TTTTTTTTTAAACTATTAAGCTAAAAAAATCTATGGAACTCTTTTCCTACGTGACTTGATTCTTTACTTTCTTCAGATATTTGCTCAAATGCTATCTTCCTTCTCACTTATGTAAAGTTTGTAAGGATGAGGACAAGATTTTTGCCTGTTTTGATTACTTTGTTGTCCTTAATGTTTGGCACAGGCTGATATATGATAAATAATGCAATTAATATTTTATTGAACATTGAATGAGCAAACTTCCAAAAATTGTGAACTATTAAATCATATAAGACAAAAATTTTCTTTTTAAAATACTTTTCTCATTTTGACTTTTTTGTCAGAGTGATATCTAAAATATCTCTCTGATGAAATTTATCTAATTTTCTATTTTTTGTGTATATTGAGAAAATTCTTCACTATAGAAATATTTACCTGTGATTTTATATTTTATTTCATGATTTCATTGGAATAATTGATTTATCTGAAATGTCATTTGTGTATACATTCTGAGTTGAATATCTTTCTTTGTTGTCTTTTGTTTTTCAGTTGACACTCCTTTTTCTCAAATATATGATTATATCATTGCTAATAATGTTGGTTACTATTGCTGTCTGACAGATTACCCCAAAATGTATTAGCTTAAACAATCTATTTTATCTGTTCATAATTTTGTAGGCTTGGAATTATAGAAGTGCTCAGCTTGGTATTTTTGTATATAGTCTCTCACATAGTTGCAGTCAGGTGTTGAGTGGAGTTACAGTGGCCTGAAGTCTCAGAGGGTTTGGATGTCAGAGGACTCAGCCTTTTGGTGTATAGTTAATACTGGCTTTTGGCAGAGATTGCATATGGCCCTGTTGTCTGAAATAGCTACTGTTGGTCTTCATACAAGACAATCTTAGGATACCTGAGCTTTTTACATGGAAATTAGCATGTCCCATTGTGAGCTCTCTCAGGTGGAAGTTTCATGGCTTTCTTTGACATTGGAAATCCTTACAGTGTAATTTCCTCTCAAGTAATAACATAGTATTGCTTGTGTGGTTGAACAGTTAGTCTGCCCACATTTTATTTATTTATTTATTTTGCAAAAGACTGGTTTTATTAGGAAAAGGAGAAAGAAAAATAGAGGCACTTGCATAGTCACAGGTGGACAGGAGAGCTGCCAGTCTTCTCAAGTTTAAAGGAAGGGGATATTCTATTGATGGAATATCGAAGAATTTGCATGTTTAAAAATTATAAGTATTTTTTTTCTTTATTGCCTAAATACACTAGCTGTCATTTCCAAAATAAATTAAGGTACTGGTAGTATAATAATAATATTTTTGTCTACTTTTTACTTAAATGGCAATGTTTCTCATATCATCAGTCATGATTTTTGTTTTGAAATACAAGTTTAATTAAACCATATTAAGTATGTTCCTATTGCTTTTTTTTTTTTTTTAAGATTTATTTATTTGTTCATACAGAACTGGGGTATACAGGCCAGAGATGTGGAGGGTGAGAGGATTCACCAGGGACAGAGTGGGGAGCAGAACAGGCAGATCTACGAAGTACACTGCTGAGGGGAGCAGTGGGCTGGTCAGGAGAGTTCTGCCACGCCATGTGGATCTCCTCCGGGGCAGGCAGGGATCGAACTCATGCGGAAGTGGCTTAAGCTTCTTAGTGCAGTGCTTTAACCCGCTGTGCCACCAGGAAGGGCCCCCTATTCCTATTTTTACTTAATAAAGATATAAATCAATAGTTGATATAAAGTTTCATTATGATTTTTATATAGATCTAGCTTATTGTCAGTAATAGAATTTAAGATGATAATTTATATTCATGGTAAATAAGTTTATGGTAGTAGATGAGTATGAGCCAAGTTTCTACTCTTTTAACACTGATAAGTATGAAGAAAGATTTGGGTTTTTTATTTTAAATATGATTCAAACTACTTATCACCTTTTCATTTTCCTGTACTAATTCTTTTAGGTGCTTTTAGAATTTACCAAACAACAGAAAGAAGAAGATACAATTCTAGTATTTAATGTTATTCAGTTAGGAACAGAAGCTACAGTAAGAACATTTGATTTAGTTGCAGTATCATATTTAAAGAAAATCAGCTTGGATTACCATGAAACTCAAGGTAATAACTTTCACTTACCTAATAATGTGTATAATGAATAATAACTAACACCATTAAAATAATTACTCATTTAATTTTTATAACAGTGCTATAAGGTAGTCATTTTATCACCAGTTACCTATGAGAAGACTAAGACATAAGTTGGTCATACAATTTATCACATTGTTAGTATGTGACTGACCCATGATTGAAATCCTGAAAGCTTGGACCTTCACTCATAACTACTATGATCTATTGCTTTGGAGAGTTCATATAAATCTCCTTGTACAGGAAATATTATTCCTATTTTACAAATAAAGGTCAAATAAACGGTTTAAGTTGCTTACGCAAAATCATGAATCTGTGAATAGCAACACATAGAATTTATCAGGTCTGATAATATTGAAGTCTTTGTTTTTTTTTTTTTTAAAGATTTATTTATTTATTCATACAGAACTGGGGTACAGGCCAGAGATGCGGAGGGTGAGAGAGGATTCACCAGGGACAGAGTGGGGAGCAGAACAGGCAGATCGACAAAGTACATTGCTGAGGGGAGCAGCGGGGAGAGGGGGTGAAGGGGTGGGGGGGCAGGAGAGGTCTGCCATGCCATGTGGATCACCTCCAAGGCAGAAGGGGGTCAAACTCATGCACAAGTGGCTTAAGCTTCTTAGTGCAGCTAGGGAGGGCCCTGAAGTCCTTGTTCTTTATATTGAGTAGTGTACATACATCAGAAGCAGCCCCAGATTATAAAATTAAAATGGTAGAAAGTTCATTCTTGTGTAAGCTTTAATATTTTATTCATTTCATTGTGTATGTGTAATTAGACTTTTGAGAAATGAATGAATGGATAAATCTTTAGTAATTAAAATATCCATGTTTACCTAATGATTTAGTCAATGATGACGGCCTATTTTTTGTTAATAGCTGAAATGAAGATAAGCCTCAGTTTAGAAGAAAAAAATTTTTTATGTTAGAAAGTTTTTGTAAGTACTGTGTTAAGATGAAACTTACACTCAAGGGGAGAAATATATGTAATAGATTTGTTAGGTTGTTTTCACCTTTGGAGAATGTTAGGACCTGGAACATCAAGGAAAAATTCTGAGATAGCGCAGAAGCAGGAATTAAAGAACTGTAAATACAAAAAAGTAGAATGGTGGATAAATCACTTCTTCAAATGGAGGCAGTTCCTTTGCACATTCACCTAAGGATGTGGAAGACATCTGGTAATATTTGCTCTTTGGAATGAAAAAAAAAAAAATTGACATTTCTCTTTGTTTGGAAAAAAAAGTCTTCTATGTAATCCTTTTTTCTTAGAGGGATGGATGAGTGAATATGAATGAAATATTTTTTTCATAGAATTTTAGAGCTTAACAGGTTATTGTTAATATATATTTAATATATATTTATAGAGCAGTTTTACATATTTGAGAAATGGAAGTTAATTAGCTTTTGGGAGGGTCAAAATGAACTAGAATTCATATATTCTCATTCTTGAAGCTGTAGTCTTCTTATTGCTTTAAAAATGCATATGTGGCCTTAAGTGTATATATAGAGGTTTTCATTATTTTGAACAAAGATGTAAAATCAAATCAAAATAAGTAGGCATGCTTTTAAGTAAGTTGAATGCCAAAGATAAGTTAATGTTTTAGATTTGTTTATTTCTTTACTAGTGTACTCAGTTTTCAGTAAACCTGAAAATATATGCAGATAATCTTTTAAAGCCTAGTTAACATTTTTTTTTTAAATGAGATCTAGGAATTTCCAACCTTAAAAAAAAAAAAAGAGAAATTTATATGGAATACTTTTTTTTAATTTTTCTTCAACCTAGGATCCAAAAAGAAGCCTCTTCACTTAATTAGCTCTTCTGACAAACCTGGATTAGATCTTTTAAAAGTGGAGTTTATTAAGGTAAAGAAAGTAGACTGTTTTTATATATATATATATTTATATATATATATTTTTAAAGATTTATTTATTTGTACATACAGAATTGGGGTACAGGCCAGAGGCTCAGGGGCGGTGAGAGACTTCACCAGAGATAGAGTGGGGAGCAGAACAGGCAGATCGACAAAGTACACTGCTGAGGGGAGCAGTGGGCTGGTTAGCAGAGGTCTGCCTCACCATGTGGTCACCTCCAGGGTAGGCAGGAATCGAACTCATGGGGAAGTGGCTTTAGCTTCTTAGTACTGTGCTGTAACCCGCTGCGCCACCAGACTGTTTATATTTTTATTGTATAACCAGAGTACCCTCTGGAAAGAAAAGGATATGTGTGTATTATAGGTTTGAATCATAGGAATCCCTGGTTTCTCTTTCCACTCACACATCTTTTTCCTATTTCACTTAAATATAAGACTAGGACTTACAAAGTCACCAAGTTTCCCAAAACTTCTATCTTCTGGGACGTAATCACCTACCTACACTATATAGGTGATATTTGGCTGAGTGTCATTTATCAAAAGAGATAAAGACAAATTGAGTTAGGTTCAGAAAAAAACTGCCAAGGATTAGGAAGTGACTCAAAAATATATTAGGTGAGAAGTACTGAGGATCTTATGGTAGTTAGCTTCCCTCAAGATTAATTGATTTTTAAACTTTTGGACTGTAAGACTTGTTAGTGATTACTAGAAAGGAAGGGGAGAATATAGAAAAGGGATGCAAGTCATTTGGAACAAAGAGGATGATGGTATGGTGAAGGACAGAATTGGATATTTGATGGTGAACTTAATGTAGTATATATGTATGTTGATTTTAAGTGATAATACACATGTGACTTATATAATGTTATAATGCAGTGTTATTCAGTAAAAAATTAAAACAGAAAACCAATATTTTTGGTTTATTTAGTTGACATAATTGAATAGCTGTTTATTCAGTGTTTGTATGTATTATGTTCTGTTACTCACTTTAATACAGTGATTAAAATAAAAACCCCTATTTTCAAGGACATTTTAAATTGGGAGGAATTTAGACAAGTAAACAAACATTAAAGTATAATTTTACTGATTCTCTAATAAAGAGGAGGAGAAAGTAATGTGCGAGCAGGGAGGCAGGGGAGTAGGCCTTGCCAGAGGCTTCTGATAAGAGGTAAAACACTAAATTTACTATGTAAGTTCTTTAGGTACAGAACTTGAACTAATGGGTTGTTACTATGGGGGATAGTTTTTTGGCTCAGTAAGAATATCTCATTAAATCAAGGTTGTCTAAAGATTAAATTTGTAAGAAAATGAGCTTTCTTTTACTGTAGATATCCTAAAATAGATTTGCTGAAGACTGTATAAAGAAATTCATCCAATTAGGTTATGGATGAATTGGATGACCTCTAAACCTTCCAACCTTAAGGGTTTATAATGATTCCTAGCTGCAGTATCCTAGAAGTAAAAGTTGTATGCTCTCCTATTTTTTTTTTTAAAGATTTATTTATTTGTGCACACAGAACTGGGGTACAGGCCAGAGGCTCAGGGGTAGCAAAAGGCTTCACCAGAGACAGAGTGGGGAGCAGAACAGGCAGATGGACGAAGTACACTCCTGACGGGAGCAGTAGGCTGGTCAGGAGAGGTCTGCTGCGCCATGTGGTCACCTCCGGGGCAGGCGGGAATAAAACTCATGGGGAAGTGGCTTTAGCTTCTTAGTGCTGTGCTTTAACCTGCTGCGCCTCCAGGGAGGGTCTGCTCTCCTGTTTTTAAGAGGAGAATAATTGTATTATTATAATAATGATGCAAGTTATCTGGATATAACTTCAAATGATGGCAATAAATTTTGTTACATAATGTATATCAAACACAGTTACAATATGAATTAACTAGAGAATATATTGATTTATTAATTCCTTCTTTAGAACTTCTGAGTGTTTTTTATTTTTAGGCTGATAAGAATGGACCAAGTTTTCAAACTACTTTTGAAAAAACTGAGCAAACACTTAAGGTAAGAAGTTCTAGTAAGAGAGTCACATCATATAGAAAATAACATAATTTGGAAGTCTCCATTGAGGATATTGAATGGATAATTGGATGAAAAATTCTAGAACCAAGAGAAGTCCTAAGTTAAATGCATAGGTTAAGCTCATAGGTACCTACTACCTCTGTTAATGTTTGAGAGTACTAGTTCTGTTATTTTAACTTTCTGTATCACATTGTAATTATTTCTAAAGTAGGAAAATGACTACAGAGAAACCAGTTGGGTCTGAATAAACCAAACTATTTACAAATGTAAACCAGTAACACCATAATAAAAAAAAAAGATATAAAATATGAAAACAAACTAGGTTCTCTCATTTAATGCAGGACTGAGAAAGTATGTGAAATAACAGGAGAGATGTTAAAACCTTCTGGAACCAAGATAGTTATTTAGAGGATAAAGAGGCAAAATGTAGCTGTGGATTATATTGAAAGGAAAAAGAAATGAGTTTTAGATTAATATTTAGAGATATAGAAGCTATTGAATATTCTGAACTTTCTTTTTTGTAATTTTTATGTTCACTTAGTGTTTTGAGGTAAGAGAAGAAATGCTTTTCTTTAAATGCTTTTAAATAAATATTAAAATTTAATTTGCTGTTAGTAAGCCACATATTCTCGAAAGCAGTTTTTATTGTTATCTTACTTTGCTGGATTGAATGCTTAAAAATGTAGTTTTTCTTTCCTCCCCTGTAAGTTACTTATTTTCCTTTCTTTTTAAATGATAGAACCAGGAGGGAGAAGTGGGAGGGGCTGGAGAAAGGGAAAGGATAGAGCATTGGCATGGGATTTTTGGTGGAGGATGTGTGAAGCATGTGCATGTATGGAGATCTACAAATGTAGCCCCAAAGTTATCTGATATATAAACAGCTCACGAATTAATTTTAAAAAATTTAAAAAGCTAAAGCCATTGTGGTTTTAGAAAACCATTTAATGGCTGAGAATTCAGTCATAATTGTACTATAAAATGTTTGAATCACATAAATGTCACAAATGATATCACTTCTGACATAGTAACACGTAATTCTAGAATTTCATGTTCTAACTCATTTTATGTTTTATATTATAATAAATAGTCCATTAAAGCTCCAAAAAAAAATAGCATATGTATATCAAAATCGCCAAGAAAAGTAGGTGATAGGGTCCATGATAATTATGCTTGGGAAATTGGGCACTTCAACTGATATTCAAATAAACTCCAGGGTGTGTAATTGTCATTTACTCTCCCTAGGTTACCTATTTAAGGAGTCTGGGTTGCAAATCTTGTCTCCTTTCCTTTCAAGCTGTGGAGGGCAGTGAAGCAAGCCTAGCCTTTTGGGTCCTTTATGGAGACTATTGGTATAATTGGCCTAGCAAACTAATTTTATTTTTTGACCATTTCTAGGTGGCTTTTTCATCTTTAAATCTGTTGCTACAAACACAAGCTCTTCTCTCTTCTATTAATTTCCTGATGACCATTATCCCATCAGGTGAACAAAACATAAGTGATACCAAAGACGTACAAATTTCAACTGAAAAGCAACAAAAAAGTTCAGCTCTACAGAAAGGTATGAAAAACACTTTTTTGGTTTTTGTTAGTAAGGGTTATAGAATTCCAGAGAACTAGGAAATTTTAGAGATCATCTGGTTCTGTCATTGCATTCCATTTTCCTTACTTCTGTCCAAACTAAGTGTTAATTGGGTGTCTGATATAAGCTAAATGTAATTTATATTGTCCTTTTAAAAACGTCTGTTTTTATTCTTAACCTTCATGGTGGTGATGGTACATGCCTTTTGTGGGAAATAGGGACAGAAAACCTCTGTTAATGCTGAATTATTCCTCTCTGCTCAGTTGCTTCTTTTGGGGGTTCAGAAGGGGCCCCATAGAGGTTTAGTTGTCCCTTCCATTTTACTTATAAAGAAATCAATATCTGAGACAGGAGGGTATGGATTCAGGTTAAAAGCCTAGACTTTGGAACAGAAAGAACTTTTCTGTTTCTGTTATTCAAATTATGTGACTATAAGCGCATCATTTGAATTCTTATATTTCAGTGTCCTTTTTTATTTTTGGTCTTCTTGTTTTCAAATTATCAAAGTATCAGTTTTAAAATGCAAACTCTATAGAACATATAAAACAAAAAGTTTTTGAAATCTTTAAGAATTTGAGGAATCTATAATTTTAAAACAAAACTGTGATTTAGTTAATATAGGGGAAAAAATCTTAACAGAGCTTAAAATACTAGAATCTGTAATGCAATGCTTTGTCTTATTTTTAGTGAGTGTATCCTCTAAGGACAGTGACATTATTGACTTCCGGCTGTTTGCCAAATTGAATGCTTTCTGTGTCATTGTTTGTGATGAGAAGAGCAATATTGCTGAAATCAAGATTCAAGGTAAAAGTTCTCATGATATTAAAAAATGTTGAAAACATAAGCACTCTCTTTTTCAGTGCTTGAGAATATGCAAATGGAAAACTCTGAGCTGTGAAAACTGCTTCATTTTATTTTCTCCAGTACTGGACTGCATGTTCTTATTGGAATGTAGACATATGTCAGGACCTAAATAACAAGGTGAACCACACATGCTAGTTTTTTTGACCACTAAGAGTTGTCTTGGTGGTGAAGAGGGAAACTAATGTCAATGCAGCGATGCTACTGATGGGTTAGGATAAGTGTCAATCCAAAATTCAGGATAAGATTTATGAATAAGCTTTATCTTGGTACATATGTAAAGTACATTATAGTAAATAATGCCTAAGAACCTATTTGTTCTTTTATACAAAAGCTAGCAAAACTAGTCTAGCTTTTCTGCGAACACTTTACCAACTTATTATGAGTTGGTAAAGATAAAGTATATGTTTAATAAAATTCTTGAAGCACTTAAAAACAAGACTTTTTTTTCCTTGTTTTTTTCTCAACTGGCAGTGCATCACTAAGTCTGAAATTGCTTCATAACACTTTAATAGGTTCCATATAAATGGCTGGATATAAGGTATGAAGAATTTACTAACTCCCAAGATAATTTATTTACACTGGATTTAGTTTTTTCAGAAGGTTGAAAATTCAAGTAATTATTTTTTTTCTATAAGCAATTTATACTTTTAAGTTTTTGAGGACTCTTCATACTGCTTTTCATAATTGGCTGCACTAGTTCTAACCGGCAGTAATCATGGGGTCCCTTCTCTCCAACACTGGAGAACAGTGCTCTCTAACACTGTTAGTTGTATTTTGAATACAGGTGTGAGGCAGCCTCTTATTGTTTTGATTTGCATTTTCCTGATAATAAGAGATGACGAACATCTTTTCATGTGCCTATTGGCCATCTGTATGTGTTATTTGGAGAAGTGTCCATATAATTATTTTTTTAATGAATTTGTAAGTATCACTGTTTATAAAATAAAAAGTACTTACTATCACAACTTATTTATTAATTAGAAGTTCATTGATAAATTAAAAAAAAGCCCAAGTAAAATTAAGAATATAAAGACACATATTAAGATCTTATAATGATGATTTTATATAAATTATAGTAATAAAATTCTTTTTCAGGACTTGATTCTTCTCTTTCTCTTCAGTCAAAAAAGCAGTCACTGTTTGCTAGACTGGAAAATATTATTGTCACAGATGTTGATCCTAAGACAATTCATAAAAAGGTAGGTGGTTGTAAATGCTTAATATTTTAAACTAAATATGATAATTTGCATTTATATATATTTATTTAAAGACTGTTAAATATATTGCTATAGAGAAATGTTTATTTTTATAATAATTATAATTACAAATGCTTTTTAAATAGGATTTTTTCTTGTTGCTGTCTTCTTGGATGGAGTACATTCAAATCTCTGCTTTTTTCAGGCTGTGTCAATAATGGGAAATGAAGTTTTTCGCTTTAACTTGGATTTGTATCCAGATGCTACTGAAGGGGATTCCTATACTGACATGTCCAAAGTGGATGGTGTGGTGTCACTCAATGTTGGCTGTATTCAGATTGTCTATCTTCATAAATTCCTCATGTCACTTTTGGTAAAATTGCTAATTACATATTTTCAACCTAGAAATAACTTTGGACTTAACACTTAGTAGTTTTGGATTTTAGGGTGTGTTTTGTTTTGATTGTAGGTTAAATTTACATATTAATGTAGAAGTCAGCTGTTTTCTTTAACAGTTGAAATCTGAATTCTTTAATGCTTTCTGTTTAAAACGAGATTGTTTTTATAGCACATAATGAAATCTGACTCTCAAGTACAAAGCCTGTTAGAATTTTTTTTCTCTCTTTTGACTGTTAACTCATTGACTCATAAATATAGATGGGTAATTAATAAGTATGGATAGATAATTAATAATTCTTTCCTAACTCTAGAAAAACAGAATTCAACTAAAAGTTAACTATTAGGAAAAAAAAATACATAAATAAAAAGAAGATGGTGTTGTTAATACAGAACCTGACATCAGTATGATTTTCTCTTTTTATACTTTGCATCCATAGAACTTCCTGAACAACTTCCAGATAGCCAAAGAGGCCCTGAGTACTGCCACTGCCCAAGCTGCAGAAAAAGCTGCCACAAGTGTGAAAGATCTTGCTCAGAGGAGTTTTCGTGTTTCTGTCAATATTGATTTGAAAGCACCAGTCATAGTTATACCACAATCTTCTCTTTCCACAAATGCAGTTGTGGTAGATCTTGGGCTATTCAGAGTTCAAAATCAATTTGGTTTGGTGTCTGGTGAAGACTTCTTAAATCCTCCAGTGATTGATAGAATGGATGTCCAGCTGACAAAGCTTAAACTTTCTAGGTATCTTTCAGTAATTATTGATGTTTTTAATACTTTCCATGAAGGTTTATGACCACTGACATTCATATACAGCATAGTTCTGTTGCCAGAACAGTTTATTTTTTTCATTTTATTAAAAAACTTTCAAGCCTGTAGAAAAACTGCAAAAATAGTACCATGACTCTACCTCTGTTGATTTCCCTAGATTCACCATTGTTTATATTTGTTTTAAGTGTATGTATATTTGCATTATAATTTAAAACTTAAATTTCATTTCTTAATATGTTTTCATTGACATGTTACATTATATAGGTTTCATGGATACAATAAAGTGGTCAGATATTTGTATATTATGAAATGATCACTGCAGTAAATGTGGGTAATATCCATCACTGTACATATTTATAAGTGTTATTTCTTGTAATAAGAATTTTAAAGATCTCATGGGATCTCATTTAGTATCTGTATGAGTCACCATGAAGTACATTACATCCCAGTACTTATTTTATAACTGGAAGTTAAAAAAGTTTTGCTAAACCTTTTGAGAACGGATATCTTAACACTTTCCCTCTAAATTCTTCAGCATTTATCTCCTAAGAGTAAGGACATTTGTCCTTTTATATAAGCACAATGCAGTTTGTGAATTCTGGAAATTTTACTGATCTGTTATGCAGTTAATACTCAAACTAAAGAAAAAATACTTTAGATTTTGCCAGTTGTTTCTGGATGTCCATGATAATATTTTTTTCCTTGATCCAGGATCACAAATGGCATTTAAATGCATATTGTACTACTAAGGGGAGGGAGGGCATATTTTGTACTGATAGAATAGTTCTCCAGCTTTTGTTGCCTTTTGTCATATGCTTGTAGTTTTGAAAAGTAGACTAGCTATTTCTCAGTTAGGTTTTGTCTTGGTGATTTCTCATGATTTAATTGACCTTACATATGATATGTGTAATATGTATAATGATATAAATAATGTTTATTCATAAGGCTTCAACTAGATGATAAATGAAAACATGTATATTACCCTATTCAAGGAGATTTCATTATCCTAATTAAAAAGGAATGATTATAAAGCAATACTCCTGGAAAAGAACTTTATGAAATTCCTCAGAAAATGCTAACTGTCCATTTTGGCATTTTTTTCTTTAGTTTGAGTATTAAGAACATAGCAGTCCTTGAATAGCAGTGATGCTTTCATCTGTATCTTCAACAACATGGATTTCTTTTTAACATTTATTCAATGTTTATTTTGTATTTTGAATAATTTTTATTGAATATTCTTTTGTCACCTGTCTACTAAATAAGGAAAAAATTTTCCTAATGGCTGATTGTATGTCACGTCATGTAATCTGCCCCTGATAACAAATTGTAGACTAAGTTAATTATAGATCAATTATTAGAAGACACTCAAATGGCCACTTTTTAAATCATTATTTAGAGCAGTGACTTTAAAGCAGTGTTTTTTGAATTATATGTTGCATCCCCCTCCTTTGTTTATGCATATGTATCTCAATTATATTTTTAACCAGGACAGTGATCCAGCCAGGTGTCTCCCATCCTGATATCCAATTGTTGCACCCAATTAATTTGGAGTTTTCTGTAAATCGCAATCTAGCTGCATCTTGGTACCATAAGGTGCCTGTTGTAGAAATTAAAGGACATCTTGAGTCAATGAATGTAAGTATATGAATAAAAAAGCTTTGTTATTGAATTTTTAGAATAAAGACTTTCTCATGTTTTTTTTTTTAATTTTATAATAGTTTATTTTTACATAATTTTTGTGCATGTTTCCATCTCAGTTGCAATTCCCTTGGGTTTCCCATCACCAAATCACCCATGTGCCATCACCATAGTCCAGTGCATTTCCCTCCCTCCACTGTTTTTGATCCCATTCCCCACTCCACCCCCA